GGAAAGAGAGTATGAACGGGATACGGGAGAATACAGATAGAGGGGAAATGGTGGAAATGGTAGAAGCAAGAGGGAATACTGAGGAGCGGTGAAGAAAAATTTGGAGGGAGCAGGGGGAAGAAGGAGGAAGTTCGGGGAGGGAAACTAGATAAGGGTGGAAGAGAGGGGAAAGAAGGCGGGAAAGGAAAAAAGAAAGAAAGAACGAGGAATGGAGGGAAAAGAAAGGAAGAAAGGAAGAGAGAAAGATGGAAAAGTAGAAGAGATAGGTAGAGGGAAGGAGAGAGTATGGAAAGTGGCATTTTGGAATGTGGCAATTGTAGGTAATAAGGATAAAGAATTTTGGGAAGAAACAGAGAGATGGGATGTAGTGATAATGATGGAAATGTGGATGGACGAAAGAGGGTGGGAAAGGATAAGGGAGAGGTTACCGACGGAATATAAGTGGGGAGCTCAAATGGCAAAAAGAAGGAATAGAAAGGGAAGAGCTTATGGCGGCATGTTAATGAGAATAAAGAAGGGAATGATATTCGAGGAGGAAGGGGGATTAGAAGAAGAAGGCACAGAATGAAATGCATGATAAGAGTAGGGGAGGAGAGATGGAGAATAGTGGGAATATATGTAAATGGGGATATGAAGAGAAAATTGGAAAGTTTAAAGGAATGAATGGAAGGGGGAAGAAAGGATAAGAACGCTAATAGGAGGGGATTTTAATGCGAAAATGGGGGAGGAGGGGGAATGGGGGAGGAGGGGAAATGGGTTGAGGAGGAGGAGCAGAGAAAGGAAGAGAAAGATAGGAAATCAAAGGATAAACGGATTAACGGAGAAGGAAAGACTGATTGAGTTTATTAAAAAAAGAAGGATAAGCGATATTTAATATAAGAGGAGAAGAAGAGGGGGAATACACATACACAGGAAAGAGAGGAGAAACGGTAATAGATTACATAATAGATGATGGGGAGATAAGAGAAAGGTTGGAAATAATGGAAGTAGAAGAGAAAGTGTACTCGGATCACCATCCAATTGTAGCATGGATCAGAGGGAGAGTAAGGAAAGAAGGAAGAAACGAAGGGATCAATAGAGTAGCAAAAAGAGGAATATGGAACGAGGAGGGAATAGAACGATTTAGGAAGAAAATAGGGAGGTTCGAAGGAATGGAAGAGGGGGTGCAAGATGAAATAGGAAGGGTAACGGAGAGAATAAGGAAGACAATAGAAGAATGTGAAGAAGGATAAAGAAAGAAAAGAGGGGGCAAAAAGGGATGGTGGGATGAGGAGTGTAAGGAAAAGAAGAAAGATGTGAAAAGGGAACTGAGGAATTGGAGGAAACGGGGAGGTGATGGCGATAGGTACAGGAAGAGGAAAAGGGAATATAAAAAAATATGCGAAAGAAAGAAGAAGGAAGAAAAGGAGAAGATGATAAGGGAAGTAGGGTAGGCAAAGACGATGGGGAACTGGTAAACAGAGCAAGGAAGAGAAGCAAGAAGTTAAATGAGGAGATAAAAATAGAGGAGTGGAAAGAGTATTTGGAGCGGTGATAGAAAAATTTGGAGGGAGCAGGGGGAAGAAGGAGGAAGTTCGGGGAGGGAAACTAGATAAGGGTGGAAGAGAGGGGAAAGAAGGCGGGAAAGGAAAAAAGAAAGAAAGAACGAGGAATGGAGGGAAAAGGTTCGAAGGAATGGAAGAGGGGGTGCAAGATGAAATAGGAAAGGTAACGGAGAGAATAAGGAAGACAATAGAAGAATGTGAAGAAGGATAAAGAAAGAAAAGAGGGGGCAAAAAGGGATGGTGGGATGAGGAGTGTAGTTACGGTCGATAGACCGTAATAAAAAATAGGGGATTCCATTTAAAAAAACAAAGTTGAACTCTATATGATCTTGGCACGTTCACTCAAGGTCAAACCAATGAAACCATTTTATCTCCCCTTTCGAATCAAACAACTTTTGTCTAAAACGTTTTTCATATCTTTCATATTTTTTGAGATATTTGCCTGGGGCAATTAAAATGAAACACCCTGTATATACAGGTGTCCTAAAACTACTGTACTTTCTCTTAATGGCAGATTCCTTAGAACATTTCAAGACGAAAATCCTAATACATAAATGTCGAGGCTATAATAGTTTTTAAACGGGAAGCGATTATATTTTACGATTGATAGAGCTGAGATTTCGCGCGCTCAGGCACGGCGAAATGATAAGTGAAAGAAATGCTCTAGGAGTGGGACGTCCTTTTTATATTATTATCATATAAATTTACAATAGCATTGTCATTATATGTTTCCCGCTTCTCTACGCATTGCATTAGTATATTTTATTTACAAATAATGGATGCAAAAACTAAAAGCATCTCAAAAATAATTCAATAAAAATTTGAGACATGTTTCAACTTCAACTGTCAAAGTGATCGATCAATGTTACCATGAAAGTGTCTACTATACTATACTGTGCGAGACAAATAAATTGTAATAAAATTAGATTTGACATGTATTTATTTTACATTTTGGAATATTTTGGAATGTTTGCAATAAAATACAAATTGCAATCGTTTCAATAGAAAGTAATTAAATAAGTAATTAAAAATCAAACATATTTAACAAACACGTCGCAAATTTTTACTTGGATCATTTTTTAGATGCCTTTAGTTTTTGCATCCATTATTCGTAAAAAGAATGTACTAATGCAATGCGTAAAGAAGCGGGAAACATATAATGACAATGTTATTGTAAATTTATACGATAATCATAATATCATAAAAAGAGCGCTTCATTCACAGAGCACTTCTTTCATTTGTCATTTCACCATGCCCGAGCGCGCTAAGTCTCAACCCTGTCATTCATAAAATATAATCACTTCCCGTTTAAAAATTATTATAGTCTCAATATTTTTATATTAGGATTTTCGTCTTGAAATGTTCTAAGAAAGTTGTCGTTAAAAGGAGGTATGATAGTTTTAGGACACTCTGTATATATATACTATACACAGGGTGACACGCAATGAGCGCCCATTGAGTATATAGCATTATTCCTTGCCAAAAACTGAGTCAAAAAGTCCTGAACCATTTTTTTATAACGCTTAAAAAAGGAGTTATTATTGAATAAAGTCTGGCCAATCAGTGCCGATCTTTAGCCGGGGGCAGTGAGCCGCGCGCTTGGTAATGTGTGTGACCGTTCCGCCGCTAGCATAGAATATTCTTATGGATCGTAATAATAGAAATATATTTTTTTGCAGTATTTTTACAGGGTGGACAAAATAAAGCGTGATGAATTTTTATTTCCAAAAATATTGTTTCTAGAGAAAAATATTTCAAATGAAAGTTGCAGTATCTTAAGAGGAACATAAGTTGATGTTATAGGAATGTTTAGGAATGTAGGTGACGGTTTTCAAGGTTATTTCAAAGTCAACTTTATTTTTTTTTATGGGAACTTATTTTTTATTGCATATTCTTATAGTCCTTCTTGAAACCGTTTCAAAACACTATAATGAAGTATTTTTTCATTAAGTCTTTTTTGAGTCGTTTTATATTTTATACGAATATGATTTTTAGAACAAGAAAAAATTATTTCTATTATTACGCTGCGAAAAATTTTGCATGCTAGCGGCATGCGCAAAGAAAAAACGCCGCCGCGCCGCCGTAGCGGCGGAACGCTCACGCACACTACCAGGCGCGCGGCTCATCGACGTGCACCCGGCTAAAGGTCGGCGCTGATTGACCAAACTTTACTTAATAATAACTCTTTTATTAAGCGTTATAAAAAAATGGACTTTTCGACTCAGTTTTTGGTAAGGAATAACGCTATGTACTTAATGGGCGGTCATAGCGGGTCACTCTGTATATATATGGGGCATTATTTATGAAGTGATCCACCTAAATTTTCAATGTTTTCCGATCATGTTGAAATTTGCACAAATTGTAGTCCTATCAAAAATAAAATCGTTGTCCAAACCTTTTAGTCCACGACCAACGGGCTCTCTATTAACAGGGGCTGAATTTTTATCATTTGGGCTATGGCGTCGAACTTCAAATGCCGATAAGTTCTAGACTATTCCGATTTTAAAAAACAGATAGTGGTTTTGGCAGATCTTTTTACGTCCTTTAATCTTATGAAACCAGTTTTTTTTTAAAGTCAAAATTTATTTAAGATTTTTGAAGAACAAAATAAGAACTTTTTTTTTCAAATTTGGACATCTTCGATTTTTTTTTGAAAAAATCTTTAAAAAAGTAGGAATCTTCCCCTTTAAAACGAGCTCAGGATCAAGATGGGCAGACTTTTAGTTTTCAAGATACAGTCCGTTTTAGGACCGAGCGCGTCACCCACGGTGCAGCTCGAGCGCCGCAAGTGGAAACATATTATCTGGTCAGTCCTATTGCTTGTGGCCAGACATGGTGATCTCTCTTATATATTAAATATATTTAAAATACTGCTAAATATGAATAGAAAGAGAAATATAATTTTATCAACATTATTTCTGATTGATTCAATCTAAAAGATTTAAAATACAAATTTTATAGCTGTAACGAGTTTTTTAGATATAGTTTCTCAATCATTCTACGACACACACATACTAAGTTTCTATATAAATAGATAAATAAAAAAAGATAAATTTATATCAAAATATAATGCCTGGGGAATTTACATTATGATTTTCAATGATTGTCATTGTCTTAGTTATATATCTTGTTTACAAAAATATAATTTATACGCAATATTTTAGTTAAACAAAAATATCAGAGTCAAAGAGAGAAAAAGGAAAAATGAGGAACGTGAGATGTATTTCTTCTGTATCACATAACATATATGTTGTTAACTAAAGTATTACGTATAAATTAAATTTTTGTAAATAAGATATATAACTAAAACAATGACAATCACTGAAAATCACAATGTAAATTCCCTGGGCATTATATTCTGGTAAAATTTTTTTTTTATTTATCTATTTATGATTTTTATTTTCTATGATTTTTAAATTCGGATGTTGTATTTAATAGAAAAATGGCTTTCCCCTTGTTATTTCAAATTATTCTTTGTGCTAATCTTGTGCGAAAAAAAACACGTACCTTCTGCGCGAGCGAAAACATATAGCCATCCTAGAAGAAGGATCACGGCCGCCATATTTGCTCTTCCCCACATTATCCTCGGAGTAATCTCAAATTCCGTTTATACTATTGTTCCTGTGTTGGAAAAATTTCAATCATCATTATCAACCTTCTAGTCAGCCTCTCACTCACTTACGCATTCGTTCGCACTTTCTCTCTCACGCATTCGTTTCTCTAGCAAATGCCTATTCTCTTGAACCTCGGCCCAATCACGAAACCTGACATTCCGTCGATCGATATTGGCCAATTACGCGTGGGTTTATTGGATCATTTCATTTTTCCCACTTTCTCGAGGGTTTCTTTGCGGATTCAAGAACATTCGATCTCATGCAACAAGTATAACGACACGCACGAGCTTTGTCGGACGACAACTACCGATTTGTTTGTTCCATGACATATTCGCGATCCTCTCATTTTGTGACTCCAATTCCGGACATTATCACAATTAAAGACAAGTAACGGTGCGGTTCATTGCGACTGTGAATACGGACATTATTATCTCATTTTGTGAAGGTGAATGCCGACATTATCGATATATCAAAAATAAGTGATCTGTGATCTACTGTAATTCCTTTTTTTTTTCTTTACGGACACATAACTGATCTTGTAGTATAGTTTTTCTTTTTTTTCTTAGTACTTTTTCTTGCGTTACTCAATTTGCGTTTTTGTAAGGATTAGCTATATAATTAGTAGTAATAAAGTACAATATTCACGCTTTTTTTTGTCTCTAAGGAAGGTGCGTCTAAATTTTCTTGTATGGTCTCGCCGGTTGCATATTCTGAAATTCTACCCATACTGACAACCAGAATTCTCTGGGACTCTTTACAAAATATCCTGTAAATCAGATAACGATTAACATTATGGAGAATTATAAGATATAACAAAGTTCTATTAACTCTGTAGTTTTTTATTTTCCGTAGAAATATTTCTACGACATTCCCCACTTTTGTACACGGAGAGAAAAGAGTGTGATATTTGTGACTATAATTAGCATAGTAAAATAATTATGTAGAAATTTCTATTTTTATAGTTGTTACTACTATATATAGGGTGAGCCTTTTTAATCTTAACAGACAAATATCTCAAAACCTGTAAGTTTTAGAAGGAAACTTTTTCGACAAAAGTTGTTTGGTTCTGAAGAGGAAAAGAGATAGGAATATTAGTTAGAAATAATAAAGTATTTTTTCATTAAGTACTTTTTGAGTTATTTTATATCTTAATCTGACATATCTTGATATAAAAAATAAAATATCTCGTAAAATATTTAGTTTTCGATAATCTCACCGTAATACTTTTATGTACAGAATAATGAGACAAATCAATTAGTACCAAACAACTTTTGTCTAAAAAGTTTCCTTCTAAAACTTACAGGTTTTGAGATATTTACCTGTTAAGATTAAAAAGACTCACCCTGTATAACGTTGGTAATAATAACCTTATACGCACATATTTCTTTGCCAACTACTATATAAAATTTTTACTATAAATTATAATAAGTTTAAATATTAATGTATACAGGGTGTCCCATTTTAAAAGTTCCACCCTCATAACTTTTCAGGATCAACGTTTGAAGAAAAACGACTCGGATAAATGTTGTAGGGAACAAAAGGGGCTATCTAATAGTGACCTTGGATTTGACATTAAAGGTCATTTTCAATTTCAAACGTTGATCCTGAAATGTTATGAGGATGGAACTTTTAAAATGGGACACCCTGTATAGTAAAATATACGAATTAACAGATAGTAAATAAAATAATGATTTATATAGATAAGTTGATCACAATTATAATAAATGTAAGTATATGACCTTAATATTCGCTTTTCTATTTATTGGTAGTAATAACTAAAAAACAAGTAAAAAGATAACTAAAGAAATAAGCATTTCCACAAATATATCAATATAGTTCAATAAGGTTATATTTTTAACTCCAAATTCTACTATATGTATACGTATAATAAAAAATAAAAAGAGAGTAACAAAAGTAATAATTTTCATATATAATGCATAGAACCGTAGCACAGTAACATATTTTATAATTACATTTGAAAATAATAATTAACTATATAATTTCTTGGAAACAAAAATTGAATGTGGCGTATTTATCTCGTGTTTAAATTTTTGTCAGATTAGATTTACATAAAGTTTGTAAAGCACGGCTACTAAAACAAAAATGTGAAATATTTAGTTTTCTTATATATAATCTAAACAAGGGAGATTCAAAGTATTAAACTGATTGTTCAATAATCGGGCAAATTACTTTTGTGTTTAAATAGGCAGTTGTGGTTATATAGACAGTTTATTCGGGACACAAAATATATATATAGAAGTACAAGTAAAATAATATTCTATGAATTAAAAAAATCTCTTTTATGAATTAAATAAATTTAAATTTTTCTAAATGTAACAATTTTATTATTTATTTAATTATTTCGTTATTATTTATTAATTGGGTCAATGCTATATAAAATATAACTACAATATTATTATAATATAACGATATTACAGTGAGTTTATGAAAACTACAACCATTATTTTCTCTCGGTGTATATAAAACTCACAGAACTTATAAACGCGGTTAAATTAGGTTAGGCCAAACAGTTGCATATATTTACAATTCATTTAATATTATTATAATAAGATCTCATCTCCGTCTTTCTCGAAACAATCAAAAGTCACCGTCGACATCCGAAGAATCGTTCTTGTATGCATTTGTGCGAACAAAACTTTCGATGAAAAGTTCTTGATTTCTTTCTCCGCATAGTAGAATATATCATAAATATTTAAATATTCGTGTTTTGTAAACTTCTTGGCATACAGCAAACGTAGCAGGATAAAGGAGTGAGAAGAAAAAAGAAGGAGAGAAGTGCGTTCGAACTCTGCGCTCGAATTTTCGAATTAAGTTACAAACACTGACAAACATCTGTTCCTGGGTATGATAATTGTTGGACTATCCGTGTCAATTAATCACGATCAACGTCAAATCGAGTCATTAATCGAGATTAGCTCGACACTCGCGAAATCGATGCCATATGTCCCACATTCGAGATTATATCTGTCTCGTATTTATCGATATCGAATGTTAAGAGAATCATTAGCTGGTTTACAACCAGCACGTTGTGTAATAATAAAGTAGAATAATATAAGAATAATGTAGAATGATGTAAAAATTCTCACGCTTCTCTTGGCAATATAAAAGAGATTTATATAAAAAGAATTAGATGCGTCAATTATCTTTCGGATAATTATTTGTGAAGTCAAGAAATGATGTTACATATTTGCCTTTATATGTATATAGACACATAAATATTATAAATAAATATTATCATTAATTAAATATTACATTATTATCCAAATATTATCGTCAAATTTAAATTCAATGATTGTTTTGATCAGTTTATATTAATGCATCATTAACGAAATATATTTAACGTGAGAATATTTATTCTTTATAATTAATTTACAGTAGCTGAAAAATACCCCCCCTCTCTCCCCCCTCCCTCTTGTATTACAAATAGCTGAGAAAGCTAATAAAGATCAATCAATCAATCAATCTCTCTCTCTCGGTTACAAAATATAATATCCAAAAAATATAATATCAAAATAAATATAATAACGTAAAAAATAAAAAAATAATATGTAAAATATATCAAATCTATTCGTTTATATATTTATCATTTTCGATATAGAGCCGTAGCGTGCAAAAGCCGCGCATCTGATTCATCGATGTTTACTTTTCAGTAATAATAGGGAACATGCGTGAATTCGTACACTTACAGCCTGTGCAGCAATCCACCGTATCGAACAAGCGTCATCATGTCGTCATCATGGCTATCAGCGAATCTACCCATCTCACTTGATGCAACGTTTTAACAAAGAGACCGGCGTGGCGCGCACACATGCACAGACACGGTATCTCTATTCACGCCATAAATCGTACGTCTGTAGGCGGTTGTACTATACCGGAGCAAGTGGAACACACGAGGGGCGCCGGGCGTTGGAGAGTTTAGGTCGGAACACGGTCTCGTAGCGCGCAATATTACGTGCGATCGATATCACAGCGCCTACCGTCTTCACACATACATGCACCATACACCTCACACACGCACGCACGCGCGCGCGCACACACAAAAATATATATATCACTCTCCTCCTCCTTCCCCTTCTCTCTCTCTTCTCCCCTTTCCCTCCCCTCTCCCCCTCTTTCTCTTTTTCTCCTTATTACTGTTACTTTTTTTTGCTCTAGCGCTTCTACTATTTCGTCCGCGACGCATTTTCGACATCGCGCGCGGTATCAACACGTTTCTATCGAGCCGCTGCCTGCAAATCTCGAAAAATATATATGTACATAGCGATAAAGAGAGGAAGAGAAAAAAAGAAAGAAAAAAAACGAACATAGAGAATCTCCCAAAACCATTGGATGTTTTTTCAATAGCAAATTCTCCGGCCATTTTGTAGACGATTTTTCCTTAAACGTCGAGCAAGTGATGAAAAAGAAGAAGAGCTTTTCACAAAAATTCTGTGAACTTGGTAAACTTTGTGAAGTTAAAAGGATAATAAAATTACATTTTTTAGGTAATCTCTCAGGTAGAGACTTTTTTAAATAAAATTTTAATTTAAGGTTTAGTTACAAAGATATATATATACGATAAACAAAAATTGGAAACTTGCAAAAGAATGATGATCTTTTTCGACAGATACTAATTTTTTTCACACGCAAAAACTTACACATTAAAACTAGTATAATCGAAGGGGATGTTTGATATGAGTAGTACAACTCGTTTATAGAGTGGACATATGAAATATTTAAATGAAAGAATCTATAACATAAAAGAAAGAATGTTACATAATCACATTACATCAAGTAAACAATATAATAATATAATAATAAAATAAATAAAAATAAAGAAGGAAAGCAATTTTATCTCACATGGCACATTTTAAATTTTAATCTAGCTCTAGATTTTAATCCGACTCTCTTTAACATGAAAAAAAAACACTGCAAATTAGAATTTTTACACTATCCTTCAATTTTTCAAACCAAAGAGATGTGAGATTATGTAATTCATATAGCTATTTCGCCAATAATGCACATTCAAAGGGATTAAATCCGCGTGTTACCGAGTTAAAATAATATTAGAGGAGCACACACACACACACACACCAACCAAATCTTGATCTCTGGCTGAACCAAGTACACACCGTCGTTACGCAACTACAACTGCATGTAATGGCCATTACACTGAGGGGGAACATTGATGCGAAGCGATAACAGCGACAGCGGTAGTGCAATATCGCAGTGTAACGGTTACCTACCCTAGAAGGGATAGAGGGGAAAAGGGAGAGTGGTCTGATTCGATTTTCTACCGTCCGTGGGTTCTTCTAACGTACACATATAATGATATATACAGTATGTATGACGTTATACACACCATTGTTCCCCGGAGAGTCTCGGAATTCGTTTAGAGCCGTGGCTAAACGGCTTACAGTCGCTGCTGCCCGTGGACTGTAAAATTGTAAATTGCGATAGCCATCGTGGTCACCGCCACGATCATTTAGGATTACACAATCTGGCTGGCTGGCAGAATTCGAGTTTTCTCACCGACTGGGAAAAACTCTTTTTTTTTTTAAATCGCGATAAGCAGTGGTTACATCGCGCGTGCTGCCTAATAATTGAAGAAGTTTCGCGAGTGCGTTTTGTGTTTAATGAACTTGCAAATGGCAAGATAAACGAAAAGAAAATTGTCAATGGAACAATGCCATTGTCATCAGAGTAATTGCAAAGTTTCCGAAAAAAAAAGAAAACAGTCGGATTTGCGTGAGATAATGTCGATACAATTGTAAAATAGTATTTCAATAATTTGCGGCAAACTATGATTTAGAATAATGGTTATACGATAAATATGAGGCCGCGATGAAAGATTACTTTCAACATTAGATGTACTTCGAATATGGAGAGTTTTTTTATATCTTTTTTTGTAACACTTTTTTTGTAACTCTCATTATTGAAACAACGTCAGATACAATTGTGATCTATCAATATGTGTTCTTATACACATGTTAATATGGATATGTTTACGTTCTGTTATAAAGATAAATGTGATAAATTAGCACCACAATAACATCCAATTATGATTTATTACATTCAATTTTCATGTTTGTAATGCGGATATATTATTCGTTAATCAAAAGCATTTTAATTGTAATTAAGATCTGCAAAAAATTTACATTTCCCCAATACATATATCAACAGAATCGAATCGGACACACATAGACGAAAGCCAATAACAATAGCAGATGTTCAGGGTTTGGTAGCAACATCGAACAAGTTATTGACCGAGTGGCTTTTCAAGTGATTAAACTCAACAAAATATATGGCGACGTAATGTATGCGATGTATAATATATATCTGTACAAAGAAAGCTTAATGTATCTGCGGAGACGAGAGAGTTCTTGAAATCTAAATGAGGATAGAAGCTTTAAATTCTTACTGTATTACCGCGTTTAATGAAAAATTGCACAAAAATTGTCGTTGATATCTTTTAGCAAGTCTTTTTTCATATAAATAATAATTATGGAAAAATTATGCGGTTATGGTATTTATTTTTGTATATAAGATATGCCGCAAAAGATAAGCTTAATTTTCAATAAATACAAAAATTAAAAAATATAAAAAAATTTGTATGCATATACTAAGATAAGCTCTAACAAGGAAATCCAGAAATTCTGATTTTATTGAAACTTTGCACACATGCAGGAGGAAGGGATATATAAATGGATGAATTCAAAAATATTGGCTTTCAGAATCATCTTAGAATCGACTGTTCTCAATATATCTTGAAAGTTACTCGAGATTTCTAAAAATATTTTATACAAAAGTTTTATAGGAACACCTTTCAAGAGACACGGTAGTGTCTCGCGCCAATTTCACGCGAAGCCGCGAGGCACTCCGGGTATCTATATATACGCGAGTCGACCAGTTGCGAGTGCCTTAGATTATCGAACCTCAATAACGGCTGAATCGATCGTATTTTTAATAGGCTTAATCGATAGCTTGGATTTGAATTATATAATGAAAGTGTCTTTATTTTTTTTCTACATCTATCGTGAACGGAGGTAATATGATGCAAAGTCGAAATGTATAAAATTTTTATTAAGATACATCTTCTTATTTGTCATCGCCTTATTTGTGTATACATGTATACAACACATGCAAAGAAATATCTAGTATAGTGGTATCAAGCTACACGCATATACACGTACACAAAACATGCAATATGCGAATGTATCATGTACGGTTGACGCGCTCGACAGAAGATTGCGCTAGCGATGCTCTGAGATTTGACAAGTAAATGAATTTAACAAGTAAACGAACAGTAAAATAGGTTAACGCGCCATAGTGTCTCGCGCCAAGTCACGCGCAACCAAATTCACGCGCATAAGAGTATGGGCCGCGGCACATAGAAAAACTTAAGCAGTAAGACTTAAAACTTAAGAATTTCATCCATACGGAATTTTCAGCGTTGCTTACGTTTCAATATGGCTGCCTTACTGTTCGACCGTGATTGGTCAATTCGCTTACTGCTTAAGTTTTACTGCTTATGTTTTTCTATGTGCCACGGCCCTATCGCGGAATAGTGCAAGGAAGAGAAGTGATTTTTTCTAATCGATGTCATTTCGGACAAAAATAGGTTATATCATGATTATCGAGGACAAATTAATAAATATTTATTTTGTAAATTAATGAATTTTATTTTTGATTTTAGAATATGAATTGTGGATAAATCGGAAAATGAATATAATGAATCTGACATCTCCTTTGATGGTAACATGAATTTAGCTGGAGGAAGCAGATGATGTACATAGCTTATTAAATGGGCTTATTAAATTCGATATACTTTCAAGGAAGAAAAAACAAAGTCAAGATTTACAGAATATTCTATAAGTAGTAGTGTGATAAGAAGGAATAAACAACTTACTTTATTGGATAAATTTGGACAGGTTTAAATTTTTATCTTTCTCAATACAATGTTATTATACATAACATTGGTGCAACCAGACTTTAATATTTTAATAGTATAAATAGTATTTTTTTCATTAAGCTTTTAATATTTTATATACATTGCATTGTTTCTCAAAGTATATAATACAAGAATTAATTTTTTTTAAGCATTGAATTATTTTATATAATGGCCTAGTTTACACCAATATACTTTAATATGTATTAAATACTACATTGGCCAATCATAGTCATTCCTTTAAAGAATAGGACGGCTGTAATTGGACAGTATAGTATTTAGTACGTATTAAAGTATATCGGTGTAAACTAGGACAATGTCTGTTTTTTTACGCAATGGATTATTTTACATTAAAATTTGAAACAACGAATATAATGTCTGTTTTTTTCGATGCATTGGAATTATTTACATTAAAATGTTTGTTTTTTTACACACTAGAGTATTTTGCATTAATATCTATGTTACTTTTCTGTGCACTGAAGTATTTTGCATTAATTTCTACACACGAACATTATAGAACATTAATGCTAATTTTTTTCTACCCATTATATGTTTACTTTATACATTCGTTTTCTTATGCATTAAATTAATATTTAAATTACAATAATATTTTGATACACACTGTATGATACACCGGAGTATTAATGCTTTTTTCTATGCATTACATTTATTTTTCATTTATTTTTATATTGTTTATATTCATATTATAATCATCCTGCTTTTCCATATCAGATATACTCTCAGCGTCTTAAGATTTCTATTGCGAATCATCTTCTTCACTGTCTAATTTATCCTCACTTTGTTCTAATGTACTTTCAATCTCTTCATCTTCCATATTATCTGCAGAGCTTTTGTTGATTAAAACTTTATAATATTACGTTAACAAATCTATATTGTTTATAGAACATGTAGAATTAAAATAAAAACACTTTTTTTGTTAAAATATTTTTACAATATTATTGATTGATTCATTTGCGCTTTATATACGGCTACAATTGCCAACCCCTAATTTTATTTTATTACTTTTAAAATATTTTTTATATTACAAACTCAAGCTGTTGATTAAACCTATTGAAAATT